ATGAATATTATTAATGAATTTGAATCGTTCCTAATGAATATGAATCACATAATGAATCTGAATCAATTCTAATGAATGTGAATCATTCTTAATAACTGTGAATAATTCTTAATGAATTTGAATCATTCTTAATGACTCTGAATCACTTAATATGAATCATTCTTAATGAATCAGAATCATTCTTAATAAATCTGAATCATTCCTAATGAATTTGAATCACTCTTAATGAATATGAATAATTCTTAATGAATTTGAATCATTCCTAATGAATATGAATATTCTTAATGAATTTGAATCGTTCCTAATGAATATGAATCATTCCTGATGAATGTGAATCATTCTTAATAACTGTGAATAATTCTTAATGAATTTGAACCATTCCTAATGAAGCCAACCAGTATGACATCTGTCTAATCTGAAATGAATTTACCAGATTGTACTCACTGGTGAGATGCTGAGGACAGACGGGGGGGTGCAGGGGTTACACTCGAACAACGCATCACTTCCATATCTGCACTTAACCTCGTCTCCATCGGGGTCAAAGGTCAACAGGTTAATATTTCTCTTACAGTTTGAAGGAAGCCTGAAAAAAGAACAAATTATCATCAAGTCACACAAGATGAGATTATCTGTTTTCTACCTTATTGTTTACATTTTGGCTGCATTCGAACTGGCTTGGGTTCTGATTTTGACCATCTCTCGTGGTTATTTAGGAAATTTAATCGAACTGTGACCGCTCCAAATGATGACTGTGAAAATAACGATCAAGTGAAAGACGTTCTGCATGAAGTGGGAACTGAAAGCAACTCAACATTTTTTAATCGTTCATGTTTCTTGCTGACGCCTCTGCAGAACTATGATAGTTCCAGACCTTCAGCTGCTCTGAGCCCATCTTGAACCTAGTTTGTTTCCTGTCCAGAATTCTTTGGAATAAATTCAGCCTTTCATACTTTCACAAGAACCGTCTCTGTAAAAAACATTTTAGTTCCTCATTTGAAAGTGAATAAAGCCTCCTGTAATAAAGAACTGTTTCTATGATGCATTTGACTTGCAAATAAAAACCGTCTTGGTCGACTCATTTTTCAGAGCTTTCTTCTTTATATTTTTTAAAACAAATTTTGTTGACAGCCGCCTCCTCCATACATTTATATATTTTTAAACATTTAGAAAGAGCCTCCCAATTCTAATTACCTGATTCTTTGATCAGAGAACATATCCTCTCCTAACAGCCTCTCAGGATTATTTCTGAACAGTTTCGGGAACTTCAGGCCAGAACGAACGACTGTTTATTTATTAAAATTTATCAAACCAGGAAAATCCCGCTGACATCCCAGATCTCTTGCAGCAGAGACCTGAAGTGAGTCCAGCGTGCAGGTTTTTGGATTGTGGGAGGATACCGGAGAACCCGAAGAAAACCCATGCAAACAAGAGAACATGCAAACCCCACACAGAAAGACCCCAGGACCGTATTGCTGTGAGGCACCGGTGCTAACCACTGATCCACCGTGCTGCCAAAGATCTCTAACTGTAATGAAGCACGGATGTTTTAAAAAGCACTTGCTACATCATCAAATGATCATATAAATGTACATGCTCTGATCTCTACCAATTTGCACCTTCATGCGTGCAACCAAAACATTTCTCACGTAAGCAGAAGCTCAAACAAAGAGGGAGGGGAGGGAGAGAGATTTGCATGTGAGATCAGCACGCACTGCTGCTTTAAAGCTTCAAATGTTGCATTTTTCAGTCTGAGTTGACAAAGATCCTCTGATGTAATTAAAGTGCTCAAAACAACAAAAGATGTTCACTTGCATTATTTTTTATTAAAAATTTAAAAAAACCAAACTTTTAAGCCATTTCTCTGAGCAGTAATAAATCATTCTAAGAGAGTTTCCTAAATGTTTTCAGTTAATTTACTTTTTTATTGGCATTGAGCAACAAATTGTACATATACTTTAGATATTAATCACATACTTTTCACCTGAATGTCTTTTTTAATTAACACAAACAAATGAAAAAAAAACAACAATTATTAACAGAAAAGGAGTGAAGTGTGCTTTTTGTTACACAAAGCACAATATTTAAATGTAGCAAACAGAGATGGGACGATCTCAAACGGTGCAGATCATTTGAACTGCTCTTTGCAACGAGGCTATGAACCAAGTTGCAGAAGCCATTCCCAGTTTTAATATTTTCCTCCTAAACCACAGGGACAATCATTCCTGCTTCGGTTTTTCCCTGAGATGAAGGAGAACAGATAAAGAGGAGGAGTACAGCAGCTCAGGAGGGGGACAGGGGTTCCAGCTTGACAAATCATCATCATCGTAAATCCGTAATCGTGATGATGTAAATCCGTACGTGAAGACGTAACTCCATCGCATGGGACGACGTAAATCTGTGTATTATGACATAAATCAATATGTGATGACGTAACTCCGCATGTGATGACATAAATCCATAATTATGATGATGTAAATCTGTATATTATGACATAAATCAATATGTGATTACGTAAATCTATATGTGATGATGTACATAAATACATGGCGATGTAAGTCCGTATGTGATGATGTATTTCAATACATGATGACATAAATCTGTTTATTATGAAATAATCAATACTCGATTACATAAATCTGTAATCATGATGATGTAAATCCATATATTATGACATATATGGATTTACATCATCATGTACACATATAATGACGTATATGTGTACATGATGATATAAATCCGTATGTGATGACATCACTCGTTCAAAACTGAATGGCTCTAAATCTAGTTTTATTTGAAATCAACTCATTGTCAGGCAGTATGAGTTGTTAGTCCTCTTATACATAATCTTAATAATTTGGATCGCCTCGAGTGGAAATATTTGTCATGTTAGTTATCTTAAACATTTAATGTTTTATTATTTTCATCTTTTTTTTTTATTCAAAAGAACTCATTGGTGGTACCAGACTGAGCTCACCATCAGGCTGAGTGTAACCTCTGGACCACCAGTTGAGTAACTCTGCTCTGCATCTAAGAGAAAACTGGCCTCTATCATTGAAAAACACAAACTGTCAGCAACCATCAAGAATGTCAATTTGCCAAATTCGTTGCGGAAATGTTGCTTGATATTTGTGCCATCTATTGTGCAGTGCATACTCATTTAGAATATGTCACAAGTATGAGCTCAGTGAGGCTGCCACTGAAACTTTGCACAGTTTCTTACAATTATGAGTCTCTAACAGGCACACAGATACTAACAGCAATTCAATAAAACCTCTAATAAATCAACGTGATTAAAACACTAAAATTACCTGAAGACTGGGAGGGTGGTGGTCTGTGGTGATGAGTTGGGTTTGTTGTTGTCAGACCGATTCCTCAGTTCAACAGCCGTCACCGCTCTCCAATATGTAATACTGTTTGTGGTACTTACCCAGGCACCACCATCCAACCTGGTTTTGAAGATATTGAGAAGTTTCCAGGTGTTACACAGAATCTGATACAAAAGCGTGCATGTTAGGCCCAAGCCTCCCTTGCAAAAGAGACTGTGATCTCAATGGGAGTTGCCTGGTTAAATAAAGGTTAATGATACTCTGTGGTGTACAGTATGTGCTGATCTCTAAAGGAATTTAAACAGAAACATATTTTTGAACAGTGTTGAGGTGGACTCACATGAGTTGAAGTGGAGAGTTGTTGGGAAGCACAAGAGTCTTGATTCCTTCTCTCTGACACCAATCACCACCACTCTGATCAACGGTGGTGACTGAAAGGCTCTGGGTTGCGTTCCCACAGTTGCCGTTGCAAACCCACGGATCACTGTTATTACACGACACGTAGTTCAACTTGTAGCGAAGAATCACCTGTAGGTTTAAAGTGAAGCGGTGTTAAGTATAATGAAAATTTAAAGCAGGAGAAAAGAGGGACAGAGAAGCTTAACTCACCGAGACGGATCCATCTGCACGAGTTTCTCCTGGGTGGTAGGTCATCGTGGTGCCACAAAAATGAGAGGCTCGAGTTCTGCTGACCAGCAGCAGCAGCAGCAACACAGAGAGCAACATGGTGAAGGAGTCGACGTCTCTGAACAGACTGTGAATTTTTACACAAGATTGTTTATACTTTCTCAAACAAACTCCCTTTTACTTCCCTTTATCGTTTTACCGTTCCACAAAATTTGCATTATACAAAAGACCGTCTAAACATGGAAATGTCTTCTGGATGCAGTACAGCTGGACTTATGAGAAGGGCCAGTCTCGTGCCTCGCTGACATGGGCTCGTGATGAAATTGGCGTTGTTCGCTTCTCTTACTCTGACACTCGGTCTTGCCCCCAGTCAGAATTGGTTCTCACAGCACTGT